AAAAAAAAAAAAAGAAGATGGTTGATTGTTCTCCTGCAAAGCTGCTGATGGATTTGAACTTCCAGAGAGGCACTGCCTTTGGGTTAGCAGTGCAAACATCTAGGGACTATATCACAAGACCAGCATGTAGAAATACTGTCTGCCAGACCTATGTCACAGTAGACTGAGTTCATTTAGATAAACTATATTTTTTTTTATTCTGAAATCTTCACATTTATTTTTTCTCTATCAGTTTATTTACAAAATTCAAATACAAATTTGAATAAATTCTTTCCGTTTCCCTCACACACACACACACCCCCCGTCAAACTGTACAACCCAATGATTAATGCCCTCCTGCCCCCTGCACATCCACGGATCCCTCTTCTTCCAGCCTCTCCCACCCATCCTGAATCCTTATACTCATTCTACAATAACAGTTTTATACAGTATTTATCCTTGTGGGACTGAGTTAGTTCATTCAGCATCACATGCTCTCCAATCCTTCCCAAGTTAGGTAATAATTGACAAAGTTATTGCTCCTGCATGCTGCATAGTATTCCATTTGGTGAATGTACCATAATTTCTCAATCCATTTGTTGTGGTTGGACATCTGGGCTGTTTCCTTGTTCTTGCGATGGTGAACAATACTGCTATGAACATGGGTGTAAAACTCTCAGTTTGTGCCTCAGTTCTCATATTTACAGGGTATATTCCAAGTAGTGGAATAGTTGGGTCATATGGAATTTTTATATTCAGTTTTTTGATGATGCACCAAACTGCCTTCCAGAATGGTTGCACCATTTTACAATCCCACCAAAAATGTATAAGAGTTCCTTTCTCACTACAACCTCTCCAACATCTATTACTTGCTGCCCTGCTAAATTTTACCTCTCTTACTGGAAGGAGATGGTACCTCATTGTACTTTTCATTTGCATCTCTCTTATTGCCAGTGATTTGGACATTTCTTCATGTGTCTGTTTGCCTTTCAAATATCTTCCTCTGTGAAAATTCTTTCCATGTCTTTGCCCATTTTGTAATTGGGTTATCAGTCTTTTTCTTGTGGGGACCCAGGAGTATTCTGTAAACTCTTGTCTGAAGGAGAGGAGTGAATTGGGGTGGGGGGCAAGGAGAAAAGTGCAACAATAAATGAATGAAAACCCTAAGTCTCTGTAAATTTTCATTAAAATTAAAAAAAAATAAAAATTTAAAAAAGACTCTTGTCTGAGATGATATTGCCAAACGTTTGTTCCCAGTCTGTCCAGGATATGCCTAGAGTGCCTTAACTGTTTTCCACATCTTTTACCTTCATCTCTTGAGCAGACAAGAGCTGATTTCTTGGGAGCCTAAGGTCCTGAGTTACGCACCATCATAAGAACTATGAGAGAATAGAAAGAGAGAGGCCATTAAGGAGAATGGAAACATGAAATGGGATAGTGGGTAGAGGGACTTGGGGGGAAAAAACAGACGTGGAAGAGAAGGTAGATAGAGGAGACTTACCAACGTCGACGTTTCCTAATCAAACAGAGCAGACTTGTGATCAGAAGAGCAGACACCAGTACTGCAAAAATGATTAATGCCACTGAGACAGGGCTCCTATCATCTGTGGAAATCACAGAACATCTGTCACCACTGGGCATCTCCTTACTTCAAGTGTCTGCCTTTTCTCCCTCTCCCTCATTTAAAACCCTCACTCCCATTCCTCCAAAGCTCATATTCCCCATGTTTTCTTAGGGTTTGTGCTCCCTAATTCAGTTCACTTAAGAGTCTATTAGCACATGATAAAAAGAAAAGGCTTTTCCCCCCCCTTCTTCTCAATTTTTAAAATATATTTGTTAATCTTTCTAAAGTGTCCTTCTGCTATGTATTAAATGGTGTTCTCCAAAAATGTGAATTGGTATCCTAACTCCTTTACTAGTGCATGTCTTCCTGTTTGCAGAGTGTTTTCTTTGTTATGTTAAGAAAGCTGTATCAGTGTATGGGTGTGTCCTTCACCTAATCACTTCTGAATCAAAAGGAGCTGCCCAGTCAGACAATGACAAGGAAGCACAAATAAGGGAAGATGGGTGTCATAGGGGAATCACCAAGACCCTAGGAAGCTGGAGCTACAGACGTGGAGTCAAAAGATAGTCAGCCTTCCCCTACAAAATGCCCTAAATTCAGACTGCTAGTCGTCTCATTTATGAGAAAATAAAAGTCTGTTCTTTAACGTCACCCTCTATGGGATTTGTGTTAACAGCTGCATTAATGAACTAGGGCCCCTTCCTCCAAGGGGATGAAGTTCTGCTGGGATTATTTAGATGATCCCTACTTCTGGGTATCTGTGTCCCTCCTCATTTTTTGGTTTTTTGGTTTTATTTTGGTTTTGGGGTTTGTTTGGGTTTTTTTTTTTGGTGATTTGTTTTGGGTTGTTTTTGTTGGGTTTTTTTTATATATAAGGAACAAATTATAACAATCCTTTTGCATTCCTGGTCCTCATTTGCCAGTTGCTTGTATGTGGAATTTCTTTCTTCTATCCTTCCTGGTAGAGATCCTTCTCCTCAAAGCTCCTTTATCTTGGGTTCCTCAAATTCCATCCCAGGAGAGCCTGTCCCTTTCCCAGCTCCTGCTCCTTCACCAGGGACATGCCCGTCCCCTTCCTCCCATTTCCAGCCTGTCCAAGTTCTTTCTCACCCCAGGAGAGGACAATGTCTCGGCCACCTAGACTGCTGTGCTTCACTCTGCAAGACAGGCCAGCAGTCTCTCCAATCTCCACATTGAGGGTGACTTGGAGATACCAGGTACCATCAGCATTGGGCAGGACGTCACTTCTCTGTGTGGCCGGCTCTTCCTGCTCCCCTTGCATCCACATCACCCACACAGGCTTTGGGTAGAATCCTGAGACATGGCACACCAGCAACAGACGGTCAGGACCAGGAGAGGGGCCACGGGACAGCCAGGCCTCGGGCTTCTCTGTAATGAAAAAGGATAAAATGAAAAGGTCATATTATGTGGACTCTATTTTCTTCATTAGAAGCTCACATCTTTTATCAGGTTTACTTACTTCCACTTTGAGAGAAGCCTCTCATAATGTTAATCCATTCCATTTGTGTGAACTTCTCTGGGAAAGTATTTCCTGATACTCCCTCTCCTTCACCCTCCTCAATTCGGAATAGTATTTGGAAAGTGGTCATAATCATTATTTACATTTGAAAAACAAGGCATAAAATATATTTATATTACAACCAGTTAGGAGACCCCAGAATCATGTCACAGACCCTCCTTCACCCTTGTAGATTCATACAATATGTTCAGCTACAATACAAAATGTTTTAACAAATGTAGTATGATTCTAGCGTTGCTTTGTTTACATATCTTCTTATCCTCCCTCTCAATCATAAATGCTGACTGCCTTTGTTGTTGTTATGTGCTATAAAGTCTCCTGTGATTCATAGTGACCCTATGTACAACACCTCTGAACCCTGCTCTATCCTGAGCCAATTTATTTTCTCTGACACACCTACCCCCATTACCCTATTCACTGAATCAATCCATCTCATTGAAGGTCTTCCTCTCCTGCACTGTCCCTCCACCATCTCAAGTATGACGTCCCTCTCCAAGTACTGGTCCCTCCTTAAAACATATCCAAAGTAAGTCAGATGAATCTTCAGAATCCTTGCCTCCAAGAGGCAGCCTGGCTTCACCCTCTCCAGGAGGAACTTGTTTGTTCTCTTAGCAGTCCATGGTATATTCAGTACTCTTCTCCACCACCACAGCTCAAAGGCCTCATTTCTCCTTCTATCATCCCTAGTCATTGTCTGACTTTCTGATGCATAGCACATAACTGTGAAGACCATGGCCTGGATCAGGTGCACCTTAGTCTCCAGACTAAGCTCTTCAGTACTCTGGAGAGGTCCCTGACAGCAGATTTTTCAAATGCAGTTCACCTTTTGATTTCCTGGCTCCTGATACCAAAAGTGTTGTTGATCATGGAGCCAAGCAAATGAAAACTGTTAATAATTTCGATCTCTTCACCATCTACTATGTTACTGCCAATTGGATCAGTGGTGAGAATCTTTGTTTTCTTAATGTTGAGCTTCAAGCCATATTTAAGACTACAATTCTTGACCTTCTGTATGATCTGCATAACACAGGTTGTTGATGAGTCTTCCTCTAATCCTGATGCCAGCCACACTCCTCCTCCTAGAGCCCAGCCTCCCAGATGACCTGCTCTGCATAAAGATTGAAAAGGTATGGAGACAGGACACATCCTTGGTGTACACTGTTCCTGATTTTAAACTATGCAGTGTTTCTCTGCTTTGTTCTGATGAGTGCCTGCTGGTCCAAGTATAGGTTTAAGCACAATCAAGTGTTCTAGGATTTCCATTCTTCTCAGTGTTAGCCAGAGTTTGTTGTGATCCACACAGTTAAATGCCTTTGAATAGTCAATGAAACACAGATAGACATTCCTCTGGTACTTCATGCTCTCTCAGCCAAGATCCATCTAACATTAGCTGTAATATCCCTAGTGCCATGATGTCTTCTAAATCCAGCCTACACATTTGGCAGTTCTCTGTTGATGTGCTGTTCCAGTCAGTTTTGGATGATTTTCAGCAGAATCTTGCTTGCATGACATATCAATGATTATTGTTGTTGTTGGTTGCCATCAAGTCAAGTACAACTCATAGCAACCCTATGAACTAAGACCTGAAGCCTTTCTATAACTATCATTGTTTCTCAAAGTTCACAGAGTTTCCAGAGGCGTGTTATTTAGGAAGTGGATGGTACTCCTGCTTCCAATACATTGTTTGATAATTTCTACACTCTGTTGGATCACCTTTCTTTGGAATGGGAACAAATATGGATCTCTTCCAGAGCGTTGGCCAAGTGGTTTTCCTCCAGATTTCTTGACACAGCATGGTGAATGCAGCCAGGACAACATCTGATTGTTGAAATAAATCAATTGGTATGTAGTCAATTACTGGGACCTTATTTTTTGCTAATTCTTTCAGAGCAGCTTGAACTTTATGAGGCTCTTGCTCATAAGCTGTTTCAGGAAATTCTTCTGTGTCAGTCAATTCTTTTTGGTACAGGGCTTCTGTATATTCCTTCCATCTTCCTTTAATGATTCCTGGATCATTTTCTATTCTGCCCAAATCATCCTTAAGTTTTGCAACTCAAAGCTTGAATTTGTTCTTCAGTTCCTTCAGCTTAAGAAATACTGAGTGAGTTCAGCCCTTTTGATTTTCTGACTCTAGCTCTTTGCACATTTCATTAGAATACTTTGTTTTGTCTTCCCATGCTGCCCTTTGAAATCTTCTGTGCAGCTCCTTAATGTCTTGATGTCTTCCCTTTGCTTTGGTGTGTATTTCACCGAATTCACAGACCCAGTAAGTGTTCTGGTGGCCTATTGGTGAGCAAATAAGCTTCAATCCCAAAAGCCCATGGTACGAATCCATCACCTGCTCACGGGAAATGGACAACCTCCTCTTCTGCAATTTATTGTCTCTGAAAACCCGCTGGAGTATCAGCTATGGGTCAGATCAGACTCAACTGTACACAACAACAACAATAACAGTAGGTGTTCTGGTGGTCAAATCTGTAGGGAGCAGCACTGTTAACCCAAAGGTGGCACCTCTCTGGCAGTTTGAATCCACCAGCTGCTTCTCAGAAGAAATATGGGAAATCTTTCATTATATGTATAGTCACAAAAAACCCACTGGAAGATCACTATGAGTCAGTTTCAACTCAAAACTAAAGACTGAGTAAACTAAGTGCTTATCTTGGCTACCAACAACCAAAAGGCTTCCCTGTCGACTAAAAATGTGGTAACCTAACTCTGTAAATGTTTACAGCCTTGGAAGCTCTACAGAGTTCTACTCTTTCCTTTAAAGTCACTATTGTTGTTGTTGTGTGCAGTCAAGTCAGAGCCAACCCATAACTGACCCTCTAGCAGGTTTTCAGAGGCAGTAAATCGCACAAGAGGAGATCGCCCATCTTTCTCCCACAGAGCAGCTGGTGGATTCAAACTGTATGCCTTTGAGATTGTAGAGAAGCTTGGAATCAAACTAGATGGCAAGGAGTTTGGTTTGGTTTGGTTTGGTTTGGTTTGGCTTGGCTTGGTTTAGTTTGATTTAGTATGTAGTCAACCAGTGTCTACAGGAATGGCTGGGTACCTTCATCCTTTATCTATTTTTTCTTGGGCTTTTCTCTTCCTCTGATGTGAAAAAACCAGAATGAAATTACCCTAGAATCCCAGAATAGAGGGCAATGGGGGGGGGGGAGATTTTAGGGGAGGGGTGGATCACACCAATTGACACCACAATGACTATCTATCAAGTTTTTGCACAGTGTTTCAGTAGAAATTCTTTATATTTTATAAAAAAGCCCTGTAGGAGCTCTAGTGGCCTACTGGTAAGAAGCTGTGCTGCAATTCCAAAGACATGTAGTTCGAATGCACCATATATTCCATGAGGAAAGGATAAGCAATCACTGATCTCAGAGGAGAATGCCTGAACCACTCAATAAAATCCTTTCTTTTTTGTTAAAAAGAAAATGTCCTGTAGTTAGTTATAACAGCAACAGTAAAATTGTTATAAACTCAGCTTATATGTATCAAGGCTAAAACAAAAAGGCTAATTTGCTTTGTGAACCTTCTGATCAGAGTATACATTATCACGCAATTACAGCAATGTTTCAAATCACAAACTGCTGCCAATGTTGTTATAGTGGCTGTCACATTTTCTAGTGTTTTGGCTGCAGTATGATGGTAGGGAGCTCTGGTAGCATAATGGTAAGAGTCTGAGCTGCAATCCCAAAGGCACATGGTTCAAATCCACCAGCTGCTCCATGGAAGAAGGATGGGGAATCTCCTTCTGTGCGATTAATTGCCTCTGAAAACCCACCGTGGGTTAGTTCTGACTCGATGGTACAGAACAACAACAATAATTGTGAAAATTAGTATTTGTTTGCCTTTACCAATAGCTTTTTTTAAAAACTGAACTCAACAATTTAACTCAACTCATTGCCAGTGAGTCAGAACCAGCTCATAGCTGACCCACCATTGGATTCCTGAGGTTGTAAATCTCTGGGGAGGAGATCTGAGCTGTCAAAGAAGAACAGCCTTTGGGTTAGCAGCACAATTCGCAATGGACTATACTGTAACAACTGTTGTTGTTGTTGTTAAGTGTTGTCAAGTAGTAGATGACTCATAGCGACCCTATGAACGAAAGACCTGAACACTTATATAACTTTCATCCTTTCTCCAAGTTCACAGAGTTTCCAAAGGCAAGCTATTTCGGAAGTGGATGCCACTCCTGCTTCTAAGCCTGTTTTAATTGGGGAGCTCCACCAAACACTGTCCACAATGGGTAAGCATTATCACATTTGACACACTAGTGTCACAATGTTTAGCATCACTGCAACCACGAGTTACCTCTGTACAGCAATGCAAAGACCAGGGCTATATCACTTAGAAGAATGTTTGACAAAAAAAAAATAATAAAATAAAATAAAATAAAATTAAAAAATAAAGTAAAAACCAGGCCTGGTTAAAACATTAAAACCTGGCTTGGAAGCAGGAGTGACATCCACTTCCAAAACAGCTTGCCTTCGGAAACCCTATGAACTTGGAGAAAAGATGAAAGTTACACAAATATTCAGGTCTTTCATTCATAGAGTCGCTATGAGTTGTCTACAACTCAACAGCACCTAACAATAAGGACGACGATGACAGAGAGCTCTGTTGGCCTAGTGGATAGAAAGTTATGCTACCAAGCCAAAGGTGGGTGATTTTAAGCTGTAGCTCTCAGACTTGGTTTTAATTGTTTTGGGTCAAACATTCTTCTAAGTGGTATAGCCCTGGTTTGTCCATTTGCTGTACAGAGGTAACTCATGGTTGCCGTGAAGCAGAACACTGTTGACAATGATGTGTCAAATGCAATGATGGTTACCCATGGTGGACAGTGTTTCGTGGAGCTCCCCAGTTAAAACAAGCTTGGAAGCAGGAGTGGCATCCACTTCCCAAAATAGCTTGCCTCTGGAAACTCTATGAACTTGAAGAAAGATGAAAGTTATATAAATATTCAGGTCTTTTGTTCATAGGATCACTGTGAGTTGTCTACAACAATAAGTACAATTGTTTTTATGTACCATAGAGTTGGAACAAACTCACAGCTGACTCCCCAGCCAGTTTTCAGAGGCAGTAGATAGCATGGAGATTAATGCCCATCATTCTCCTGGGGAGCACCTGGTGGATTCAAACCATGTAACTTTGGCTGGCAGCTCCTTACCACTAGACCACCAGGAAAAAGTAAAACAATGGTGTCTGCTCAGTTATTAGAATGATATATAATATTGCAATTCAATGTAGAAAGATTTTACAAAACAAGCTTCATTGTCCATATTCATAAGAACTATTACTACATTTGATCCATTATAACTATTTGTCACATTTTATTCTAGGATTAAAATTGATGCTAAACATTACTAAAGATTATGTATGGCCTAGGATGGAGAAGGATATCCGTGGGTGGAGAGGGGATAACAGCCAGCCCTAGCAATACCACAAATAGGGCAGGGCGAGGGAGGGAGACTGACCTTGCTTCTCCAGGTCTGACTTTCCTGCCTGGATGAGTCCACGGACAAACTGGGGGCAGACGTCATTGAAGAGCCACTCCAAGGATTGCTTTGTTCCTTCATCCTGGTTGAGCACTTTACTTGCAGTCTGAACCCAAGATGGGGCCCCTGGAGCAGGCTCCCAAGACGTTTGAAAGCTGATGATTTTGTCTCCTTGATATGCTACATTAAGGAAGTGTTCTGAAATGCCTCCAGAGTGCACCTCACAGCCAGCAGTTAACTGGAACTCAACGGGGTCTGAGGAGAGGTAAAGGGCAGATACCAAAGAAATATTTCAAAGAATAGAAGGACTCAAGGTGAAAAAATTGACGTGAGGGTTATATTGAGAAGGCATAAAGAAAGGAGGAAAAACAGTAGTCAAGTCAACTTCTATGCATAAGCCCCCATGTGTAACACAGAGTATAATTGTTACTGGATTTAGGAAAATAAGAGTGGGAGATTTGAGGACAGTCAGGAAAAGTAGTATTTTGAGAAGTCTCCAGTCAAATACGGAAATCAGAAGAAGGCGCAGAGAAAAAGGAGCTACAAGTGAGGTCACTGTCTCCCAAAACGACTGCTCTGCCCTCCCTCCCCCATCCTCCCCGCCCCTCACGCCTTGGGTACCTGTCCAGTATCCCAACCTCAACTCACAGATTAAGCGCAGCATTTTGACAAATTCCACTATATCCCTTTTGACGCTGATCCGATAAACCTTAAACAGAAGCACCAGGTTCTCCCACTCTTGCTGGCTTAAGTGACCGCGGGACCAGGGCTGCAGGCTTCTGATGTCGTTGGTGTCGTTGTGCCAGCTGTGGGTTTGCACGTCGTCCAGATACGCGGCAAAGTCAGTGCGCATCCAGCTGCTGTTGGCGAAGGACGAAATCTGGAGCACTCGGAAGGTGAAGTTCCCCGTCAGCACTGGGGTCCAGTGGAGGTTTCCGGAGCATAGTAACCAGACAGGAGAAGGGAAAGTGTGTGAAAAGGGAGAATAAACAAAAACCCATGGGTTGGAGAAGGTAGCTGTGTCTGTTACAGAGCCACTCCCAGAGGCCAAGGCTGCAGAAGGTGTGGGCTGCAGATTCCCAGATTCCCAGGCTGGCCGCTCTGTGCGCGCTCGGGCTTCCAAGCCCAGGGGACACCAGTTCCAAAGGACGCCATTGTCAACCTCCTTCATCCAGCCTCCCCCTCACTGCCCCTGCTCACCCCCGCCCCCCGCCCCCGCGAGCGGAGCGCACACTCAGAGCGCAAGCTCGCTTGCCTTTTACTCACCCTCAACACTTCCCCAAACCTGGGGGAGCCCACAGAGCAGCAGAAAGCGCAGCAAACCCATGACGCCTACAGCTCCGTGGGACACCCTTGCTCCTATGGAGTCGGCTTGCCCAGTTATTAACACGGAGAACCTACACCCTGGCTGCCTTCTACGTGTCCGCTTCCGCCCCCGTTGAGACATGCGCCTCCCACAGGTCTCTACTTTGCAGTTAGTTTTTAAAGTTATGGTCTGGAGTCCTACAACAGCTCACAAGCTGCCACTCATGTCAACTTTAAATCTGTTTAGTGAAGAATTTGGAGTCACATGTGGGAAATATTTAGGTCAATTGCTTCAATTTCTAAAGCTAGACTTAAGATAGTACCTGCAGTACAATTCCAACCAGGTTGAAAATGTAAATGAAAAAAGGAAACATGACTGGATTAGCAGTGGGTGTCTCTAGATGGCAATATTATAGGTAATTTGGTTGTTTCATATATTTTTGTTTTCTAGTGTCACATTCCTTTCCACAGATGTAATCAATTTGATTCCAATGCATACCATCAGGCGAAACCCATGTGTATAGCCTGCGTTTATGGTTTTTTATAAAAGGTATTTGCAATGAATAAATCATTGAATGTGCAGAATTCTATCATTCTGTCTCCACCTTTTGTCAACAAGTCCATGTTTTTCAGCTACTCATCCTTCTTTCCTGTTCCCAACTTTTGCATTCCAATCACCCATTATTATCAATATATCCTGATTGCATGTTCGATCCATTTCTGACTGCAGAAGTTGGTAGAAATCCTCTATTTCCTCCTCTTTGGCTTTGGCCAACTGACTGGAAGAGATTGATATTTGTTCCCATTCCAAAGAAGGGTCATTTGACAGAGTGTGGAAATTATAGAACAACATCATTAATATCACATACAAGCAAGATTCTGCTGAAAATTATCCAAAATTGACTGGAACAACACGTCAACAGAGAACTGCCAGATGTGCACACTGGGTTTAGAAGAAGCCGTGGTACTAGGAATATTATAGCTAATGTTAGATGGATCTTGGCTGAAAGCAGAGAGTACCAGAGGAATGTCTGTGTTTCATCAACTATGCAAAGGCTTTTGACTGTATGGATCACAACAAACTGTGGGACTCTTGAGAAGAATAGGAATGCCAGAACATTTATTATGTGAAACCTATACTTGAACCAAGAGGCAGTCATCAGAACAGAGCAAGGAGAGACTGCATGGTTCCAGACTGGGAAGAGTGTCTGCCAGGGATGTATTATGTCTCCATACCTTTTCAATCTATATGCAGAACAGATCATCCAGGACACTGGGCTGTACTAGGAGGAATGTGTCATCAGGACTGGAGGAAGTTTCATCAACAACCTGCATCATCCAGATGACACAACCCTGCTTACTGAAACAGAAGAGGACCTGAAGGGCTTGCTGCAGAAAGTTAAGGACTAGAGCTTTCAATATAGACTGAAGCCCAACATCAAGAAAACAAAGATTCTCACCATTGGGCCAATTGGCAGTATCATGATGGATGGTGAAGAGATTGAGGTTGTTAACAGTTTCCATTTGCTTGGTTCCACAATCAACACTCTTGGTACCAGCAGCCAAGAAATCAAGAGATGAATTGCACTGGGGAAGTCAGCTGTCAGGGACCTCTCCCGAGTACTGAAGAGCAACCTCATCAGGCTGGAGACTAAGGTGAGCCAAATCCGGGCCATAGTCTTCCCAATTTTGTGCTATGCATTGGAGAGCCGGACAGTGACTAGGGATGATAGAGAATTAATGCCTTTGAGCTGTGGTACTGGAGAAGAGTGATGAATATACCTGCTAATACAACGGGTTTATCCTGGAGAGGGTGAAACTGGGCTGCTCCTTGGAAGCAAGGTTTCTGAAGCTTTGTCTGACATACTTTGGGCATGTAGCAAGGAGGGACCAGTCCTTGGGAAGGTGGAGAGACAGCTCAAGAGAAGAAGACACCTGATGAGATGCATCGATTCTGTGATGGGGTAACAGGAGTAGGTGTGTCAGAGACAGTGAAGTTGTCACAGGATAGATCAGGGTTTAGGGCTCTTGTACATAGGGTCACTATGAGTCACAAGTGACTCAACAGCACCTAAAAACAAACAACAACAACAGTGTCACATTTATTCTTAAATGAAGGTATTAAAATCCATTTTCTCTTCCGTAATATGGGCATGGGAAGATTCTTTTTAATATCCCATTATAATGTCTCATTCCATCACCTCATTCAGTGTTCTCCAAAGTCTCCTCCTCTCAGAGTCCCTGCCCTTCTCATTCCCCTTTGCTCTGGACTCCCTCCACACTCCTCTCTCCTAGGACTTAGCCAACTCCCTTCAGAATGCCCCTCTATCACATCTCCTGCTGGTCTCCCTTGCCTGCTCATGCATTCTTTTTCTTAATTGTGATTTTAAGGAAAGTTTAATGAAAACTTGGGATTCCAATCATTTCATTGTTGCACATTTTCCTTCCTATCTCCCCTCAGTTCACTTTAAAAAACAAACAAAAGACCAAAGCATTGACTGTTGCATCATTTCCTCCCTCCCCCACCCCAGTGCACTAACCATATATTTCTTTTAAACCGTTCTTTCCTTCATCTGTTCCAATGTAGTGTTCATTATTTATCCCCTCTTTTCTCCATTTTCTATTTGTTCTTTATTCATTCACTTCCCAAATGTGATTGTTTTCTAGAACATGATCTTGTTCACTCTCCAACTGTGAGCATCTCTTTTCTTGTTTTTTTTAATTTTTCTACTATTTATTTACAAAATTCAAATACAAATTTGAACAAATTGTTTCTGTTTCCCTCACTCCCCCCTCCCACCCATCAAATTGTACAACCCAATGACTAATCCCCCTTCCCCCTGCACATCCACCTCCCTCTGCTTCCAGCCTCTCCCACCTGTCCTGGAATACGTGTACCTGGACAACCAGCTCCTCATTTCTCCCACTGAAAAAGAACAGGACACAGTGACTCAGAACCTCTCATCCCCTAGAGAAAAGGCCTTCTCTTTGGTCAGTTGGAATCTGGACGACATTCTGGCACATCTTTCTCCCTCTTTTATAGTTGGATAAATGAGTGATAACAATATTTAGTCATTCATCACCAAGCAAAAATTTTCCAGTGGATTCCAACTCAGGACTATTCTGTGATACAGAATAGAATTGCTCAATGGGGTTGTTGTTGTTGTTGTTATGTGCCATCGAGTCGTTTGCGACTCATAGCGACCCCATGTACAACAGCCCTAAACCCTGCTCTATCCTGTGCCAATCGCACTGCCTCTGACACACCCATCCCCACTACCCCAGTCACTGAATCAATCCACCTCATAGAGGGCCTTCCCCTCCTGCACTGTCCCTCTACCCTACCAAGCATGATGTCCCTCTCCAAGGACCTGTCTCTCCTTACAACATGTCCAAAGTATGTCAGACAAAGCCCCAGAATCCTTGCCTCCAAGGAGTAGCCTGGTTTAACCCTCTCTAGGATGGATCTGTTTGCTTTCTTGGCAGTCCATGGAACATTCACTACTCTTCTCCAGCACCACAGCTCAAAGGCATCAATTCTCCTTCTATCCTCCTAGTCATTGTCCAACTCTCTGATGCATAACAAGTGATTGCAAAGACCATGGCCTGTATCAGGTGCACCTTAGTCTCCAGAGAGACCCCGTTGCTCTTGAGTACTTTAGAGAGGTCCCTAACAGCAGACTTTCCCTTGGCACCAGCAGCCTCCAGGAAATCAAAAAACATATTGCGATGGGAAAGAAAACTCAATGGGGTAGTTACCTTTTTGTCTTTTAAATTGTGGTTTAAATGGAAGCTTACAGAGAAAATTGGTTTTTCATTCAGCCATTCATAGATATTTTGTCAGAGTTCCTTTGACTTGATCTTCTTTATGGAAGCAGATCACAAGGCCTTTCTTCTCTTGTACTTCTTGGGGGTGGGAGGTATTAAACCACAGAATTTTTCATTAGTCGTCAAACAAACCATTAGCATCACTCAGGGACCTACTCAATCTTCACCTAAATTATTTTTTGTATATGTCCCCTTTTCTCCATTTCAACCTCTGCCACCACCCTAACCATTTTGCCTGTTATCCTGAAATAGTTTCTTCAGGCAAGAGACTGCAATCAATGGCAGAGTTCACAGCAGTATACATGGGTTCCTTCAACTGACCTTCTAACCTAGCTGATCTGCTTTCAGTTCCTAAAATACACAAAGGTCCTTCCTGTTTCAAGTTCTTTGCACAAGCAAACAGTTGCCTCTGATGAATGACCCTTTTCCTCCCCTCTTCCTACACTTCAGTAGTTCCAATTCAGGTCTTGTTTCAAATGCCATTTCCTCAAGGAAGGCTTCTTTGCCCAAACTCCTGTGAGCAGATGCCTTGTGTGTTACAGATCAACTCCATTCCTACCTTTTGTTCACTCACTGCCTTTGAAAGCTTTAATTTCCCATTTGGAACTTAAAACTACAGAAATGAGCACATTTTCCCAAGTCAGCTGGGGAGCTGCTAGATTTCATGAACGCTTGACTCCTTATTCCAGTTGTGTTTTTGTTTGTTTGTTTTGTTTTTCATTCTGCCAGCATTAACTAAAACTCCATCTGTCCAAGGGGAAAAATAGAGGGCGGGAGAAAAATGTTAACAATGAATGAATGAATAAAAATCCAACTTTTCCATAAACTTTTATCAAAATCCCAATAAAAAGTGGTCTTATGAAGTATTTGTCTTTATGAAACTGAATTAGTTCATTCAAAACATTGCCTTCCAACCTCTCCCATGTTATATAGTAATTTTCAAAATTATAGCTCCTGAGTGCTGTATACTATTCCATCATGTGAATGTACCGCAATTTCTCAATTCATTCATTTGTTGATGGACATTTTGGCTGTTTCTACTTTCTTTCTATTGTGAAAAATGCTCCTATGAACATTGCTGTACAAATCTACATTTAATGTCCCAGTTCTCTATTCCTTGAGACATATTCTTAACAGTGGAATAGTTGAGTTGTTCCAGAATGTTGGGGAGGAAGGGAGTGCCTCTGGCCAGGA